CGATACGTTGCAACATCCTGGTGACGAGTGGTCGGAAGAGACACACACACACACACACACACACACACACACACACACACACACACACTTACACACAGTTGCACTTTCGCACACAGTTACTCAGAGGGGAGTGTGAGTGCAGCAGACAGCAGGCAGAGTGACTGATACTCAGCCTGCCTCCCAGATGGCCTGCTCAACTCTGCTCCAATCTGATCTCGGAGCCTTTGTTCTGGCATGTTCCATTACGCCGCCGTGACACCAGTAAAGGCAGAGGGGAGAGGAGCTGGTCTCAGATCAGATACAGCTGAATTATACATGTATTTCTCCCTTTTTTTTTTCCCACCCTTCTGTGATATTCTTACAAGCACAGTCACAGTTCTGCGTATGTCAGGGTTTTCTTTTTTTCTTCCTGGGGTTAAGGTGAGCGAGGGGGTTCTGTAGACATAAGAAATAAAACTCTCTCAGTGTGATGAGGGGAAATCTGTTGTAGTGCTTTAAATGTGACATAGTGTCTGTAATGGTTTTATTGTTGACATGAGTTATGATCTTTTATGCAAAAAAAGAGTTTTATTTTGAAGGAGCATTCTCAGCAGCAGCAGCAGATTTGACACCTTCATAAACTTCTTATTACTTATCCACTCTTGATTGTATGAAGATAATGTTTTACACACATACTTTAGTTATAGACCCTCCTCTTCTACAAGTATTGAGAAAATAAACACATTTCATAAATACCATCTTATCTGTGCTCTTCACGTTAGTTCCACTGATTTTAAAAACATTTTCTTTGGTAAAAACTTTGAATCTTTGGGAGTAAAATCACCCCGGACTAAACTGGTGGCGGCATGACGTCGCGACCTGTCGTTGGTGAACAAGTCGGCTTGTGCGATGAGCTGGTTTTCTTTTACCCTCTTTAGGTTCTTATTTAAAGCTCGAAAGAATGAAGGGACGATCTTTTCTCCACCTATTGGCCACAGGCACACAACGATAAAAAGACACTAATGTTTTATACCAAACATCATGGGTAGGATATGGTTTAGTATGATTACATTAATAAAATAAAAAACCTTCTGAACGTATTTCAATCGTAGGTCCAAACGTTGCTGAATTCGGCTGATTCAATAAAAGCCAAAAGCCAACCACATGAAGCGTTGTTTGGGAAGCTGAGCTGAGCCAAGTGATCCGGATCAGGAAAAAAAACGAGCCAGAATTCCCAAATCTTGCAACACTGTTCAATATGTATTAGTATGTTTTGAAGCGTTTTTGAAATGCAAAGCTTATATATAATCTTCTGAAGTGATCAACTTTAAAGATTTCGAACACGAGAAACAAAAATGTCAGCTCCGTCTTCCTAATTGTATAATAGCGATAGCAAAGTGAAGGCGTAATAGAAGCTGGCCTTTACAGGCTTTTGTGTAAAAGCCAAAGGCTCACCTGTGACAATCACTTTAACGCCGCGTCTCCTACAGTGAATCGTCTTTGCATAAAAGAAAAAAAAAAAAAAAAGATGAAGACGAGGGGAATGAAAATCAATACTGGGAGGATAGTTACGGCTGGGTGTCAACAAGCGATCGAGAGTCTCTCCCCGCGTCTCACACCCAGCTGTGAACGATGATGCCTAATATATGGGGTGACCTTCAAAATGTCATAAATGTGTTGTGCAATAAAGTGTCAATATTTGTGGTTATATGGAGCAGGATGACTTTTACAGTAATTGGAACAGCCGCATTAAAAGCTGCGGATCAGTCAACTGATTAAAGACAAGCATGCTGGACACCCGGCTAGTGACGTACCCGCAATGTGTGCGTACACTCACATACACACAGGAGGAAAGCAGGGGAAGCATGGGCAAAGTCCTGTTTTACCTTTTTTTTGCAGCGTGCGTGTGTGTGTGTGTGTCTGTGTGTGTGTTTGTGTGTGTGTGTGTGGGGGAATGTGTGAAGCCCATTTATTATTGAAGGGCTGTTATATGCCAGGAGAGCACACTCTCATCCTCTCAGTAGTGTGTCTTCCTCTTACAGGAGCACTATTAACCCCGACACACAGAGTTGTGTGTGTGTGTGTGTGTGAGTGACAGAGAGAGACAGACATGCAGAGCTGCTTGTGTGTGCGTGTTGTGTGTGTGTGTGTGTGTGTGTGTGTGTGTGTGTGTGTGTGATGGGAAGTGTGGTCTGGTGTTTGTCCTGCTTCTAATCTGTGTTTTGGATTTTTTAATTTTAGCCCCATCTGGGGTGGGCAGGTGGGCCACTGTCTGTTACACGATCTGGGGACTCTGTGCCAAAAAGGGATCTGTACAGTAGACCGCTTAAAATATGTTTATGAGCAGACGACTATGGCTACAGTATGGTGCAGTCCTGGACCGAGCACTGGGGGAATTGTAGCCCTGTTTATTTATTTATTTTCTGTCTACGGGCCATCTTTTAAATTCATTCAAATGAAATCAGGGCGGGGGCGCAACTGATGTGTTCACACAGTACTTAAATTATGCAGGAAATCAAATTTTCACCTGTGATATTTTACATACAGCCTTTTCTTTTTTTTTTCCAGGGAGATTTGCATCCAGCTTTTTCAATATGTTTCCATCTGAAAGCAACAATATATGCAATGATATCACAGCTCACTTGAAGGTTTTTTTTCATAATATGATGTGGATTTAAGTAATTTTAAAGAAACACGTGACTGTTTCTGATGTTTTTTGAACAACAGCAGTGATTTAAATCGCTTTTATTAAATGTCATGTTTCGTACAAGGCCAATGCCCAATCACAGAGTAGGTGGAAATACAGGAAAACCTTGTTTAATCGGAATATTTTTCATTGCACGCTTTTACTTTCCTGACTCTTTCCATGTAACCTCAGGTTCTGTTTAGATCAGTGGGGGTCCCGACCCTCTGGGGGGGTTACCAGGGGAGTGCTAAGGGGGTCACAGAAACTTTGAGGGAAAAGGCGGGGAAAAGAAACAAAAATAAAATTCAACTACATATCACAACTTCTAAAAATAAGTGTTCTTTTTCTGTCAATCTTTACAAAAACACAACAAGAGACATTAAATGAATGAATGGCAGGTTTAATGTTAATCATTGTTACAGAAATAAGAAGGACTGATGAGGACAAAAAAGGACAATGAAATGAACTAACACGATTATTGTTGTATGTTTAATTTGTGATTTTTGCCTTTATAATGTCAAAAGAGTTTGCAAGAAGGGGGTCCTCTCCTGAGGCGACATGGGGGTCTTTTGCATGGTAAAGTTAGGGAACCTCTGGTTTACATTATGTGGAAAAAAAGCTCATTTTAGACCACAAGCCACACTTTAAACTCTTCCTTATAAACCCTGAAAAGTCCTCTGGCTTCTCTTCCCTTCACCAGCACACAGAATTAAACAGCGGCACGGCCGAGCCCGAGTCGAGGCAGCTGGTATTTAGTATCTGCGTATTGTCACAGACTTACATTTAGGTTGCCTTTCACTTTCACTTGTGATAAATAGCCTTCAGTCTGATAGCAGCGCTCGCTGAATGGAGTTGTGTGTTTAGTGTCAGTCTGTGGAAGAAGACTTGCTGACTTGGGTCTTTCCATTCTGTAAACCTTATTTGACTCCCCCCGACAGAGAAAGGGGCGGGATTGGGGTGGGGAGCGGCGGAAAAGAAAAGATTAGGCTACTGTTAAAAAAAAAAAAAAATGTCCCTCATTGTGTGGCGCGGTCGCCTAAGTGGGCCGCTCCATTTGGATTCTTTTTTTTCTTTCTTTCTGGCCTCCTACATACGCACATACCAAATCATGCGCCAGATTAGGGAATAAATCACATTTTTTAGCTGCTTTGGGTCATGTGCATGTTGAGGAAAAGTAGCATTGACCACCAGAGACAAAATCAGCTCTTGGTTTTTAAATCAAAAATGACATCAGAATACTGATTTTCTTTCCTTTGTTATGAAATTGGTAAAAATCAGTCGTGACAGTTCTGAGTTGTGTGGGTTGATGTTGAACCTCCTGCACGGCGACGTCCATCAAATGCTATTGGAACAAGTACAGATATTTTTAATTTAACAGCTACAGGATATAAGAAAAAGCAAGCATCTGTTGTTGCTTTTTAAAGTTTTTTTTTTCTTGTTGTTTTGAACTTAACCGTGTTGCTCGGGCCTTTAAAAAAATCCTCCTGACTGTCAGCACATCACAGGCTCTTAAGCATCCTTACAGCGAGGCCACTGTGTACAATCTGATGATGAAACCCTCACCTCGGATTATGCTGCTGTCAACACATTCCCAGGTTGTCGTCAGTCATCTTTAGATTCATATTCAGAGAGGTGATCGTGTTGATAACAGACTGCTGTTGCACTAAACTGTGCATCATCGTTTTTTTTTTTTTTTTTGGTTAGCAGCGGAGGAGGAAGCGGCAGAGGGCGGGGTCAGAACTGTTATCACCCTATCATATCTCTGACAGCTACCTGTCAAAATCAGGTCGCAGGAAGAGATGCGAGGAAACGCTGTGATGCTGACACAGCCGAATCTATCTCACTCCTTTTTTTTTTTTTCTTCTTTCTTTCTTTCTGTCTTATTTTTGCATTGTTAATTTCTCAGCATATGCTTAATAAGAATGTTGATGATAGAGAGGATAAAACAAGAAAAAAAGAGGAGGAGGAAGGAGAGGCGGTGGTGGTGTTGAGTGTGTGTGCGTGTGTGTATGAGTGTGTGTTTAAAGTGGGTGTATCTCAGGACTGTGGTGTTTCCAAAGAAAGTGAAAAGCTTATGAACTGTCAGCGTTCTGTCAGGGAGGAAAATGTGCAGCCCGTGAACCCGTTTGATGTGTTTGACTTTGTGTGTCGTTCGCACATTTGAGCAAAAATGGAAGCGGGGGGGGGGGGGGGAACAATGAGAGACACACAGAAGAGAAAGATGGAGAAAAAAAGTGTTGTGATGTGAGGAGGGAGGTGGTTTTGAAGTGGCACTTAACACACCTTCCATTTGTCTCTCTCTCTCTCTCTCTGTGTGTGTGTGTGGCGCTTCCAGATGTCGGGGAGGACCTGGCGAAGGCAGCGGGGAGCATCCAGCCGTCTCTGTCCCAGCACCGCGAGCGCACTCTGGCCTCGTCCTCCAAGGATTGCCCTTACTGTGGCAAGTCCTTCCGCACCTCCCACCACCTCAAAGTCCACCTGCGGATACACACAGGTCAGTTACATCCACCGCTTTCACACCTCCAGCCGAACTGCAGGCGCAGAGAGTGCATCTCTCCAGCAATTAATCATTCATTGTTCTTCATGCAAAATTGACTTCACTACTTGTACTGACATTACGTCTGGGGTTAGACTGACATATCGGTCTAAGCAGATAGGGCCATCAACCTCTGACATGATGGATAAGCTGCACATACATGATTCCATATTAGTTGTGTAAATGATTCTGGATTGGTTATTAATTATATTAATACAGGAAATACTGTGGACAGTTAACAAAGAAAAAGACAGGCAAAGGAAATAACAGACACAAAGACAGGAAAAAGACAAAAAGACTTCTAATGCAACTACCTCCATCAAATTTTAAAGTGCACAGATGGTCACAGTTTCCAAATCACAGTATCACAGTGTCCTGAAAAGAAGCAGTAACATAAGCGCCCAGTGATCCCAGTTCATCAGTCACACAGTCTGTAATTCTCACCTAAGTCATAACCCTTGTAAGGTCCACAGATATTTTCCACGTCTTAGGAGAGGGTTTCAGTGTAATTCATTTCCTCAAAATTGAGGTATAAGACAAATAAATAAAACAATTTTGCAAGTAGGACTGCACCTTTCCTAACAATGTCCCTCATTGAGGCTCACGGCTGTTATTGTTCCCTTTTTTTTTTTCAAACTCATCATTTCATTGAGCTCTAATTAACACAACAAGGGTTCAGTGTCCTCTGATGACATCACTCAGAGGGCAATTTCACACTCGCTAACTCTCAATAACTTCCAAGCCAAAACAAAGCCGGCCTGTCCACAGTTTGGGGATATGCGTGAGAGGACGTGTCTAATAGATTTAGCTCGGAGCTGCTCACTCTCTGCCCATACATCTCGCCGAGCAGATCCCAGGCAGCTCCGCGGTAACCTGTCCGCATGGTTGTTTCAGCGAGGGTTAAGGCCGCAGTCAGAGTAATGATGTGGACTGTGGACAGTCAGCCAGGGCTCTAACCCTCTGCAAGGTACGAACGCCCCAATGACTATCCAGGTTAAAGTCACAATTAGAGCACGCCGAGGTCACCTTACACCAAGGACATCTGCCTCTAGCTGCCGGGCCGGTGTAAGCTATAAACGTCATTTTATTCTTCATTCAGTTGGTATTTGTGCAGACTGGAAGGAGTTAACTCAGATATTTGGTGCTGGGGTAAAGGTTTGGTTGTAGTGGAAACTTGTTAAGTCTTTTTTTTATATAATCAACTCCATCACCAGACAAGAACGCCAACATTAGACACTTCTGCCAAAAACCATAGAATTAAATTATGGACGTAGTCTCAGTGACATCATCCATTGGTCAGAGTTATGAAGCCCTGTGATGACAAACGCCATGTTGGAAATGCCGTCTCAAACTAACTTTCGGTCAAGCTAGCAACAGACAAAGAGGTGGAGCTGAGGCGGGCCTTAAGTCCATTACTACAACACCCCCACCTGTCAATCAAACCAGCCACACCCCTAATCATGCAAATGTACGCTTAGCCATGAGTTATATAAAAACATAAATGTACAGTATTTATCAATGAAGTAACTACACTGGAGAGACAGGACAGTGGATAGAGTTGGAAATTGGGGAGAGAGAGAGAGAGTGGGGAATGACATGTGGGAAGGGAGTCACAGGTTGGATTCAAACCCGACCGCCCCGCTTCAAGGACTACAGCCTTCATGCATGGGCTGCTAAGTAAGCGACCAGTTTAAAGAGGCTGTAATAGCCTCTAACTAACCACTAACCACTTTCCATAAAGTGCAAACTAACCACTCGGCCATGTTTATTTCTGATGTCTATATGGGCGTTTTAATATGGCTGTTAATGGAGATTCATCTGCTTCTTCAGACAGCTTCAAGTGGACACTTTAAGAACTGCAGATTTGCACTTCTGCATTGACTTCATTTATTTTCCTCTTAAAGTTGCCGCTTAAAATATATTTGGATTTAATTAATAAATTCATTATTTCTGTAGTATCTTATATGACATCATTACACATTGAATAGATAACTGATAATAGAAATAAAAAAAACATTATTCAATCATGTTCACATAAATATAGAAAAAAACATAAAGATTTTATATCTTAAGTTATTCTCCCTTCTGTCAGTCAGCCTTCAATCAAAGATCAAGATATTCTTAAAAGAAGAGAGTCTGACCATCCTGGCCTTTTGATTTCTGCTCTTCATGAGGAAGTAATCCTTGAGTGCCAGAAGAGACGCAGGTGCTAAACAGTGACCTGCAGATGTAAACTAGCTCTAAGCTAACTCTGGTCCAATCCATCAAATGGCAACATTTATGTTAAATAGTGTACAAATGAAATAAATTACAAAACACAGCAAAATCAATGCTAATTTTTCTCCCTATTCTCCTTTTCAGTCTCGTTTAAAAGACAGATTTGAGAAAAAGAGATCATCTGTACTGCTTATGCTTTTCCGCAAGAAACCGGCACCTCAAATGTTTGAACTTGTAGCCTGCTAACACGTGCTGTTTTTTTTTTTTTTACCAACATCAGTAGCATCCCCGTGTTAAATAGGGCAGTCAGGTCAAAGTCAGGGACAGCAGTGGTTTTTTGGGGTCATGTGGGATCTGGTGGTGAGAGCTGTGATTTATGTCTGCTTTGAGTAGCAGAGTAAGGATACCCATGAGGGTCATAATTTAACGTGGAGGAAGCCGAAACCTCAGCTCAGGCCTGGCGTTAATTCATTTGGAAAAACACACACAGACATGTAGGCCCACCTAATTCCATCTGAACAGCACTTTTTAAAAAATAATCCTTTAACTTATTGATGAAAACTGAAAACAGAGGGCTTGATCCAAAACTCTTTACACCAGCAAAACGTTAGTAAGGATGTTTTCTTTTGGTTGAGGAATGTATCTCTGGACACTGGCCTGTCCAAGCACAGCTGTAGTAGAGTCTTCTGCATGAAGAAGAAAACAGCTTGATGCATCCCCAACATGTGGCCCTTAAATCACTCCTATAACCTAATCATACGGCTCCACTGTGACATCCTGATTACATCCACGAGATGACTTTTACAGTGGCTAAAGATCCTCTCTGAGCTCGGTTGACAATGCAGAGAAAATTCACAGATGACAGCCGAGCTCCCCTTCATCCTAATGCAATGTGAGTGACACAATGGAGTTGCTTACCGAGCCGGTCCGGGCGGCATTGTGCAATGCAACGCAGAGATTAATGAGCGCCTAACAGCAGCTTGAAAGGAATGAAGTGAATTTAAATTTCTCCAAAAGTTAAAGAGCTAATGTTACAGTATTAATTTCCTCTTGAACAGTGAGTGGGAAAATATCCATTAGCAAAATTAACCACAGTTTTCTAGGTAGCTAACATTGTGCGGCTGTGCTGCTACAGTGTGGGGCCACAGCTAATGAACACACTGCAGAGGGTGATATTTCATTATACAAATTAATGCTCACATTTTAATGGGAAAGTCACATAATGAATCTAGGCTTCAGTGACAGCAATTAGAGGCCCAGATTGTCCCCTTCTGGACAAGGCACTATTTAGCAGTAAGCAGCTGTGTGTAAAAAATAAAAAGGTCCTCGCTCTTGACAATAGCCACACATAACTTCAGGCAGAGCCGCATAACCAATAAGAGTCCCTGCTCACCTTTAAATGAGGAGAGGGGGGAGACAAAGACAGGGAGGAAGAGAAAGAGAAAGAGGAGAGGGAGGACTTTACCCATGTCACTTAACCTTAACCTAACCTTGTAATCAGAATGAATCAAGAGGGACCTGTGATCTCCCTCTCCATCCCTCTCACTACCATGCTGCCTCTTTTTTTTTCTTCTCCTCTTTCTCTAAGTGTCTCTCCCCTGGTAGATTTTATTCTCACTTTAATATACACTATATCCGCCGTGTGCTGCACATTTAAAACCAAATCCCATGCATTTGAACGCATTTATTCACCCACACTGTGGGAATTAATTGCACTACAGTGTAGTCAGAGTCTTATAAATCTCCTTCCTCTGTGCCATAGAGCTCCACTGTCGTCCAAACAATATTATAAACGACCAATGAGACACATAGTTTAAATATATTTTGGGTCAATCAGACATACACCACCCTGGAACATTAAATACTGGATAGAGAGCCTCATATGTATTAAGATAAGATATAATGAGACAGATTTTATTGTTACCCCATTGGGGGAAATTTGGTTGTTACAATAGCTCACATTAGTTGGAGTCAATGACCTGCGGTGCCGGTTCTGGTATTAATCTGCAATATTCCTTAAAAAAATGTTTATCTTCTGTTTGAGTAACATTCCCCAAAAACAACTGTTGCTGGCTGTTTTAGGTCATAACAAAGCGATTTGAATCATTTCTTGTCTATTTCAATATAATTTGTGAGCTGCTTTTTAAAGATTAATCCAAATTTCAGAAACATGTTTGCTCGGACTGGACTGCTAAAGACAGGATAGGGGAGTAAAAAAAGCATAAACAGAGTTGAATATCATGTATTTTCTTCCAATCACAGGATTTAATAATATGAAAAAAACATTTCAAAAAGGCAGCAGTATCTCTTAAAGTATGATATCAATACATTCCCAGAAACGAATCAACAGTGCATCTATGTTGTCCCTTTCCCCTCTGAGGCGGATGAACTGTTAGAGGCATTCTTAATCCACTTCTCACCACTACTTTAAGCACATACACATATAACAGATGTGAAACGGGTCAATGCATTATTCAGCCTTTCAAACATCCACATGGTGTTTTTGTTCCACCCTTCCAGCCAAATTCATCTTCCAGTATGTCATATCTATTAAGCCACTTTAATTGCCCTTCTGTACAGGTTTGGGGTATTTATCTTTACTTGTTTCTATGACAGTGTCACCATTCACACACAGCCAGATGAAATCAGTGCAAGCTACATGAACACTGCACACATGCTGTGGAGAAGCAGATCCCACTACTGCAATCGGAAGAAGGCTGATTTACGGCCACAGAGGTGTCGCTTAGATGTTTATGCGCTTCAGTTTTTCCCCCCTCAAAGCTAAGCGAGCTACTGAAGTGCCTTTTTCTACCCTTCTTACATTCATTCTGTCAGGAACAAAATGTTCAAAAATCATTCAACAAAGCCAAGATGGACCACAGCAAAAAAGTTCACTGCTCTATTTTTAACTCCCAAGTAGTAATTTTCTGGTTTTGTGGCGGCAGTGATCTGTCATGTGGCTGGGAGGTTGTGCTGTTTGCGCTGATATCAATTAAAAGTGGATTAACGGGTACATAATGACCTTTAGCAGTAAATTGTGTGTAATGTTGCAAGGCAGGATACAGTATATTCCCCAGATGTCACACCAGGCCCCTGACGTATGATGGAGCAGATGTCTTAGCCAGTCCAAATGGCCCTCTAAGACACAAACACACACACACACACACACACACACACACACACACACACATACAAACAGGCATGCATAAACATGTGTTCACACCCATTCCAAATGATGCACACACACACACACACACACACACACACACACACACACACACACACACACACACAAATGTACGTAAACACAAGTAAATTCAGAAATGCACTTGTTGTGTGTCTCACTCGCTCCAGATGTATTTAAATGCTTAATTTTAATGGAAAACTGGAATTAACTGATAAGTCTCGGAGGGCGTTTGTATTTATTTCCAGTTTGCCTTACTTGGTAAACATCAAAGACGAGTGTCAAGCACACAATCTTCTGGGCTTTTCATTCTCATTTTTAGATATGTAGATGGTACATTAATCTTTATTTCCCCCCCACCCCCCCCTCATGAACATTAACAACCTCTTATAAAGGAAGAAAAGACAGTGGAGGGGGGGGGAAAGATCAGATCAGTCTAATTTCTGTCTAATTTGGCTCCTAGAATATCATTTTGTCCAGTTAGAGGAATTGAGAATGATCATTTGCATCAGGGACGTTTCCTTATTAAATCAGCACTGAGCCTCTGTTCGGCAGCTCACAGGAGAAGCACTTATTGGGTTAAAAGCTCATCTCGTATGGTTTATTTTAAATATACTCTATGCCTCATAGCCACTCTAGCGTAAGAGAAAAGATATCAAATCACTGTCTTTCTATCTATAGTCAGGGCTATCTGTCTCTCTGCACGCTTCCTCTTCCTTTTTTTTTTTGGTCTCTCTTATTCTTTCTCTCTGCTCTTTTCAGCATCCGCACCTTCAATTTTCTTTTGTGTACCCTCCTATTCGTTTCTCTGCGGTATCAATATTGTATTGAGTTGGTGTTTGTGGCCTTGTGTTTGAGAACTCTGCAGTAGGTCTGCAGATCGCAGAGTCTTTTTCTGGAATGGTGCCCTCTAAATAATGATAAATTACTTGAGCAGTATGCCATTTGCTAATTATATCCATGATTTACTACACAGCCCGACTTAAATCATTCAAACCAGCCTTGCGTAACAATGCCTTTTTTCCTTTATAAAATGGTTTCCATGTGTGTAATCTAAACATTTTATGGCCATATACTGATTATAGTGTATGGAAATGTGCATACATGCAAAAAAACAATAGCCTTTTTTTCTTTCTTTTTTCCACCACCCTCCCTCTTTTTTCACACAGTCGCTTTTATCCCAATTGCAAAAAATTCCGCTCTGGGAAGTTTTTATATGTATATATATATAAAAAATAAAATCAAGCTTAGCGTTTTTCCCCCTCTTTGTTTCATTGTTTAATGAATCCAAATCTGGCTCAGACTCCAAGCCTATTATAATTGCAAGCAGGATGTGTTCTATTTCAACACAAGTATCATTCCAATGGAAGATCCACTTCTGGCAGAATAATGCTGGTTTTATACCATTATCAAGAATATTCATGAATATGGATGTGCAGCGTAAATAAGTATATGTAAATGCTGCACGCCATACTCACCCCTCTTTACTGCAAAATGAGTCTCTTTCATCTGTTTGTCCTGTAGTGAATCATATATTACTTTTTCACAGGGCTTCACTCAACTTACATGTGGTTTGCATATGTAGCCTGCACATTTCTTTTCTTCTTTCAATAATCATGGGCTTATTTTTGAATAGCGTATCATAGTGTTTTTTTCACAGTCAACTGGTCCATGCAAGTGGTCAATGAGATCGTATGCTGTTGCTGATTTATGGGTCCCGAGATAAACTGTAAATAGGGAATGTCTGAGAAATTGCATTCATTGCCAAGGCACAGGACTAACAACAAACAAGGCCAGAGATGAGGCCCGATGATCCCATTGCAGACACGCACACCTATGCAAAGCTGCACAGACACACACACACAATCAGAGACCCAGTCCTGTGAAGCCCTCACTCACGCAAACACAGATAGCATCGAGACAGTTTTGCTGTCAGCGGAAATATTATCTCTTGTAGTGGACTGAAAGCAACATATGGTGAAATCTTTTTCATGGTGTTGATGTGAGTGATGGCTCACTTGGCGGGGCTGGAACGGGCTGGATCGACCCATATTCAGATGCCTACTCCACACCCCCCACCCCCATCCCAGTACACAGACAAACACATCCACAAGCTGCACACATCCAGCACAGAGGAGGCGATGTTTATTGAAGTGCAAACACTTTGGATAGTTAAGTTAAAGCAGGCTCCTCATATGGCTTTGTGTTGGAGTTTATTTGTAAAATTTAAAATCTAAACTTCCTCTAACTTAGGTTATTTTTCTCCCCTAACCTTCTTCAACCTTTCAGGAGTTAGACATGTCTTGCACGTTTTAACCACTTAAAAATGAGGGAATTTTAAACATCCTCTTTTTTTCATAGTTGTTAATGACATGCATATCTTTTTTGTGAGCTCAAGTCATTTGACCTAATTTCCTTTGTTCAGGGAGGTTACATGACCCTAGGGTCCACATTCCCTGCTCCAATAAATAGCTTGTGATATCCATTCAATCTAATAATCAGGTTAATTATTCACTGTTTTCCCTGTCTTTCCCTTTCTGTTTCTCTGTCTCTTTCTTGGCCTCTCAGGAGAGAAACCCTACCGGTGCCCTCATTGCGACTATGCCGGCACCCAGTCTGCCAGTCTGAAGTACCACCTGGAGCGCCACCACCGCGAGCGCCAAAACGGCTCCACCAACTCGGCCCCATCCTCTGGCCACACTGCTTCGTCTGACCACAAAGATGATCAAGGGAAGACAGCCGGTGGCGGCATCTTCGCCCGACCAGATGTTCTCCGTAATGTCTTCAAGAGCATGCCTTCCAACCTGGACTTCAGGGCAGGTCCGCTGCTGCCCCATCAGTGGGCGTCGGCCGGCATGATGCCTCCCCACGACCGAGATCGTGAGCGTGGAGACCGCCGCTTTGACTCGTCCTCCTCGGCTGAGAACATGAAATCTGCTGACGGCGCATCCTCGCTGGTCTCAACAGTGACGGATGGCTTCTCTGACTTAAGCCGGGCTTACCAAAGCATGATGGGAAATGGAGTCCACTTTCAAGGTTCTCTCCAGGCCTTCATGGACAGCTTTGTTCTCAGTTCCATGAAGAAGGATATGAAGGACAACCACAGTCCAGCACAGCTTCAGGCCCATTGCTACAACGATAACGGTGAGCCCAAAGCGAAGAGGGCGATGTCTGCTGACCAGGATAGAGAAGACAAGGCTGAAACCAAACAGAACTCAGTGCCTGGCAAACCAGGGTCCCAGTACGAACCACTTGATCTGTCTGTATCAGTCCGGCCTGAGTCTGCATCTGGATCCCTCCCGGGTTCCTCAGTAACCATCCATGATAATGTGGCGTGGCATGGCTGTCTCTTCTGCTCCTTCTCCACCCCGTCATTGGAGCTCATGGCTCTGCACCTCCAGGCCAACCACCTTGGTAAGGCCCAACCACAGCGGTCTGATAACGGAAAGGAGCTCCATCTAGAGGCTTCTACTACCAACTCCAACAACAACAACAAGATCTCCGCACTTGACAACAACGGGGAACGAGATGGAGAGAAAAACCAAGGAGGATGGAACAACCACTTGGACCAGCCCTACAACCCGTTCCAGAGCGACTTCTACAGGCGGTTTGGTGGCTTATATGATGGATCCTCAAGGGAACAGGGCCTTCAAGGGTTTATCGCCCCAGTAGAGCAGGGTCTGGACCTTCCAAGCCAGGTCTTTGGAGTGGCCTCCTCGGTGTTGAGGACCAGATGGGCGAGAAGGGCTCCTGTGGAGTTGCTGAGGAGGACCAGGTGGGATCAGATGATGAGGTCGCAAAGGCCGGGGTGAACAGCGCCGGTGAAACCCCCTCAACCACCCCCATGAGACAGCTGCAACAGAATCACTCCGATGAAGAAGAAGAGGAGGGGAGAGTGGCCGAAGAAGAGGAAGAAAGATATGAGGATGGACACATGGACATGGAGAGAGATGAAGACGGAACTCCAACTCTAGACCACATCCAGAACCACCCCAAACAACACCAAGATGACTCCCCTCTGACCCCAAGGAACGGAGGAGGTTTGGCAGCTTCTTCCTCTGCATGAAATCACTTTCTCTGCTTCCCCAAGCCAAGAATCAAGCTCTTCCTCTGGAGAAGCAGTGGCAGCAGAGCCTGGGCCTCCTGTCTCCCGGAGGTCCTCCGGGACTGTTGAAGGCCGAGCAGCAGTCCCACCTAGAGCAGCAGATGAACATGTTGTCGGTCCTCAGAGCCTACAGCAACGACAACCTGCCTGCATTCAATGGCCTGGGAGGCGGAGCGGGAGGAGCAACCACAGGGGGCATGAAGAGGCCAGACGCATCTGGTGAGTGTCTTTAACCTCTACTGGCACTGTAACTGCTTTACAGGACATAAACACGCATTCACAGGCAGCCATACTGGCAGAAAACCACACACATACAAAGTCATGAATACACATGTGTTTGAAAACGCAAATTGAATTTCCCCAGCACTGCATAGACATAAAACACTCAAGAAAAACACCCACATTTTTTTCTCTTGACACCCACAAAGGAATCTCAGACGCTCACTGAAGGCATCGGGATTGGCTCTGAAGTGATTTCAGCCTTATTTCAAGCAAGTTTAGAAGCTATCAGCCTGGCGACTAGCAACAGATTAATCTTTATTACACGTTTATATTACTGGGAGTGCAGCGCCTCCCTCCCGCTCCACAGCATGGAGGGAATAACCCTGAATGAGTCAGAGCAGGACCCCGGCTCCCCTTGCCATCTCCTGCACATGTCTCTTAACTATCTTAGCTCTCATAAAGCCGGCTCCCAAAAGCCCATTACTTTATAAGACTCGTCGATCTATGACCCTGTGAAAAATGAACTGTCAACTTTCATGATTCTGCTAAGGTTACAGCCGCTCCTTGAGACTGAAGAAGGAAGTTCTTTTTCTATTTTTTTGCTCTTTCGCTGTTTAGTGCTGGTTGTTGAAGAGTCTCTACAGGAAGAAAGTAAAGAACCCCAAAGTTTGTTTTGGAGCTTTGAAACACTGAATTATACACGCTAAAGAGAAATAAAATACAAACAAAAAATATGGCATTGATCTAAAACAACAATAATAATAAATTGCCCACATGAATTAAAACTAGCTAATCATATTGAATAAATAAGACACATTATTTATTATAGAGTAATTCAGAGATACTTAAAGATACCTTTAGATTTTGTCGGATCCAACCCACAAATTTGTTTTGCTGTTTTATACTTAATTAACCTTTTTTAAGCGTTGGCTTCAGTGTGACCCGCTAAATTGTCAACACTCATATAGACCTCTTTGGAGTATGTCCCTAGCATGGGAAACAACTTGTTGTGCCTTTAAATGTTAGTATAGGAAACCAAAAACAAGGGGCTCCATTTCTATATAAATCCTTTGTTGAAGCAAAACTCAGACGTCTCTACAAAGTCTAGTATAGCTGTGTTTTGTCATTGCCGCCGGCTAGGTCGTACACAAGAAAACACCTGACATATCTCAGTATTCAATCTACTAGACATGGCCGCAAAGTACCTAGTTGTACGCCTACCTAGTTGTAACCTTGAGACTTTCTTTAGTATAGTCGCTGGGTTTTTCCACGAGGTATACAAAGATTTCCTGCCACTGTAACTTTGGCCGTTTATCCTCAACCCCATGACCTGAAAGTGAGTACAGCTCAGGAAACTCCACCCCCTTTGCTCAGGGTTAGCTTGTCACCATAAGACAACAATTCAAATGATTGGAGATTGCGTAAAACAGGCTACCGTTAGCTAACTTCCTGCCACCAGTTGGGCTCCACCCACAAAACAAGTCATCCCTGTGTACAAAAAGAAAAATGGTCTATAGTTTTTTGTTGACAAGAAAATAACTTCATAATGCCTGTAATATGTGGAGCTCAGGTTCACAGAAGTACCATTCAGGAGGACACAGTTAAGGCTACGTTCACTTCATTAATAACAGTGATCCCTTAATAAAGAAGTGCAGCTACATATGTTCATCTGACCTTTCCATCTGACTCAGTAGTAAGCGTTGTCATGGAACCAAGCCGTCTGCATATCTGAACATCACGGCTGCATTTTAACCATACAGGATTGATATATGTGTCATCTAATAGAGAAATGGCTTTGTTTGACAATGCCCTACTTATTGTCTAATCACAAAGCCTGTGAAAGCAAGCTGTGTAATGTGGGCAGTTCCCTATGTGACGAGGAATGCTTGACCTTTAGAGATAACGCTTTTTCTCTGAGGAACAAAGGCCTTTTTTTTTTCTTTCTTTTTTTTTTACATGTTGTTGGTTTGTCCTCGTCTGAGTCAGGCATTCATCGTAATTAAAAAGCTCAGAGAGTTTCTGTGTCCAACTTTTTGACAAAAAAAAGTCTCCATTCAGACATCAGCACAGGAAAGAAGCATCATTTAAAGTTTATAGTAAAGACAACATAAATCTATATTATGTGATGTGTTTGTGAATGAATGTGTGAGTTCTTTGTTCTTAATGACCTGATAAACTAGCCTCCCATCTCAGTCACCAGCTATTTATACAATGTAATCAGATAAAACACAATACGTTATGCTGTATTCAATTCCATCTCTAGGTAAAATCGATGATTTGAAAATGTGCATGTGTTCTTATTGATGTTGAAAAGTGGAATTTAAATTAACCGGAAACCAGAACAATAAAAGAAACTAGAGTCCTACGAAGCGTCTCGTCGCTCACTTCCTTTGAAAGCTGCATTCACACGGTTGATTATAGGAATGAATGTAAGTGTGTCTATGAGTCAGTGTGAAACCTGAGATAGAAAATATGCTAAATCTCCACATTGCAGCAAGTCTTACTTGTTGTGTAACGGTTTCTTTTATTACTGTCTCTTCACAAGAACGTTGTGTTCTGCAGCTGTTATCAATATGAAGACTAGAAAAACAACTTCACTCTGACTGTAACATTGTTATTATGACTCCACTTAATGTGACACTGTGACTAGCTTAGTCATGATACCAGAATCTGACACTAAGATGTGACCCTCTTAACATCAAATGATATTGATTCCTGTTTTGATACACAACCACCAATGACTTGATAGAAGTCAGTGGCATTCAGTATTGGGTAACTTCTTGTTTTTCTAATTACCAAAAATTGCAAGCAAACACTTTTACTTGTGAAATTGCACAAATACGTTTGAAACGTTTCCATACTGAAACATTGCCGACATATATTTGCATTTTAGGCAGTGCTCTCTCCCTTTTGCTCGTTATGTGACTGAAATGACTGAAGACTTGTAGTCCTCTTAAAGCTACAGTACTCTTAGATTCTCTCAATCTTTAAAATAATGAGGATTTAATCATTTTAAAACACGTGATATCAAAAAGTAGGATTTCGCAAAACAATTTGACGACCTTGATTACAACTTCTGCTAGTACAGAAGCATCTAATGTTGTAAAAATGTATTTGATCTTTGGTCGATTTCTTTCACTTCAACAATATCTACCAATCTTTTCTATGCTCTAGTTTTTATTTGTCTAAAACACAAAATAAGAACATGACGATTGTTGATTATTCATTTCAGTGAAAATTTCAAACAACAAAGAATACTTAGTTTGGATTCAAACATTTGAATGTATTTAATGCATGTTATAAAAATATCAGAAAAATGCACTTAAAGAATCCAAGTTATCTAGTTTACAAAAGTGTCATTCAGTCCCTTTCTTCTGCATTAAAAACTATAGAAATCATAACACTCTATTTGTAATTTTTTTTCAAGTTCCTGCCAAGAACTTTCAGGTAGAGTCGATTTTGGCGACCCCTCTGGATAATGCAGGACATTTAAACTCTTTGCTGACAGTTCTATACATGCAAATGAGTTTCTGGTGTTCAAAATGAAGAAAAAAACGGAAATAAAGGTTGATTCAGCAACATGTTGTAAATCCCCTCGTCTGAAACCGACACTACCTGCCTGGGTGTCAGACATTTAAAATAACTGTATAGAAATAAAGAGTCTTCTCCCCGATGGTCTGGTTTGTTTTGGAGATTGAAAAGAGACTAGTCATTACAATTCTACATTTCATTTAGCAGACGCTTTTATCTAAAAGCATCAGAGAGTGAGAACAACACAAGCAAAGATCTATAGAGGAGGAAACAACGTCAGGAAGTGCAAACTAACAGCTTTAAATCTGATTGGACACACAGGTGCTGAAAGGAAGTGCACACTTTAGTCTTTCATAACATGTCACTGTATTTTATCAACCATATGAGATTTTTTTAAATGTAAAAATTGCATAATACTTGAGGAAGTACAAAGCATTAAACAAGACAAGGTAACAGAGTGTGTCTATGCTAAAGTTTAGCACTTAGGTAAATCTACCTCCAGCACTGTTGTCAATACTACCATTGTTACTTCTGTCACAACCACTATTGTGACTGCTGCCTGCTCTGCTACACAAACTACAGCTGCATGATAAAGCCCGAGATAAGGAGCATAAAGAGACACTTGTTTCATGCACTATTACAGTCCCTCTTTATGTCTCCACTTGTAAACCCCTTGTGTTTCTGGTCACCAGCAGCGTGAAGAGCGCCACCACCACGTTCCCCCGTGTTATCTGGTGGGTGGGGAAAAAAAAAAAAAAAAAAAAAAATGGTGGGGCTAGCAAAGACGTCCGTAAAAAAACTCAATTCAGACCTGGCCAAATGTGATTATCTGGAGTGGGTTTGCATTAGGTTTGTATGCAAATACGGCATAAATCATTAATATCGAAAATTCTCCCCCCTGAATCTGTGGGAGCCGTTGTAGGGCACGCGCTGCACGTCTGGAGTGGCCGTCTCTTCATTAGTATGCCCAGAGGAAGGGGAGAAAAAGTGGCTACAATGCGCATGAATCTAGTTGCACTCTGACACATAACAGATACACACGCAAATACGGATCCACACTCACACGTTTTCACACGTCTGTAGTATTAAAACCACACATCCCCTAAATTGGCCCAGGAATTGGATTTATCAATAAACGTCATTAACGGCAGCAGTGGCCCTCAGGTCTTTGTAATCAGACAAGGTATCTGGTTGCTGAGGTACACTACGCTGTGTAAAGATTGATATGAACCCACACCATTTGCTGTACTGTAGATGTGCTTAACGCAATCAATACTTGGCTGCAGCGGAGACCTATCTATAGCCATGCATTATCAAACATGAAGTATTACATTATTCAAACAGTGCTGAACATGCCACGACTGCTTGCGAACATTGCTCCTCACATCGTATTACTTACATTACCTCAACCCCCCCCCCCCCCCCCCCCACACACACACACACCTCATTCATTTAATATATTAAACGTGGAGCAGGACTTTAGAAAAGGTTGAGATTGACAAGCTGGAGAGGAAGTGTTGATGGAGGAGTAGGACTCGATGATTTCAGAGGAGGGAAATGGCAGAGCTCGTGGCGGAGCACCTCTCGCAATTTGAGAAGGAGGCTACACAAACAGAGAGTTAGTGGATAGGAGAGTGAAAGAAGAGAGAGGGGGGGTGCTGAATATTCTCACATCAATTAGAGCCATCACATCCAATTTACAAGTGCTCTCAGATTGTGCTCTACAGTTCTCCTCATAAGTGCTGTTGTTTGTTGGTGTTTGTAGCTGATAAAAAAATAAAAAAAAACTCTTGAGAGTATCATCTCCTGTACACACATTAGTTGACAGTACAAAGAGGCTATTTTTGAAGACTTCAGAGGGCGAACATGTTTGGTGAGGGCTTGGTGTCACTGAAACAACAGCAGAAAAGCTTCAGCAAATGAAGAACTGCAGGAAAACTGGGAACCATGCAAGGACTGGAAGTGTCCTGTAATATAAATGTTCGCAATAAATCAGGTTTAGGTGTTAGTCTAGTCATGCACTCCTGAAAATACTGCCCCTGAAATCTTCCTGACTTGCTTGTTCACACATGCACCTCACAGAGAGAGACTATCCTTGTGGTGGTGGGAGATGAGGTGGGAGAAGAGGCAAGACATGATGCAAAAAGAACGATGGGGAAGTGGTGGAGGGATAAACCGAGAGTCAACGCTCGCTCACAGTGAATTTTCCTGAATCAAATACTGAAGCTGAGAATTTCATTGGTTTTGTAAAGTTATACGCCCCATTTGAATTCGATGCTGAGAACATGTTGCAACACTGTTTGGGACAAGTGGTGGCAACAAAAGACTGGAAAAGTTGTGAAATGATTAAATAAACATGTGATGGTGTCACATAAAAAACAGCTCAGGATAGTAAACATGACCCTCTCTGAACTCGTGAGACATGATGCAGGCTTGAAAGGCGTCGCTGTTCAACAACCAAAAAAAAATCTACAACTCTGTTTCTATAGGTGTGTGTGTCACTGTGGCTGTGTGTGTGTGTGTGTGTTGGTTTTCATCTTAAACACCGCAATGGTTCTGTTACAGTGGCCAATTAGCTGTGACAGAGAGAGTGCACTCCAGCCGGCCTTCTCTGTTCAGGATATGAACCCATGAGTACTGAGGTCAATTCAGAACAACGTGCAAGAAAAAAATACCGTTTATACACAAATGAACACACACACAAACCTAAACACATCGAGAGTAACACATGCTCGTAGAGGCGGTTGCAATAAAAGGCTAATATGTGTGTGTGTGTGTGTGTGTGTGTGTGTGTGTGTGTGTGTGTGTGTGTGTGTGTGTGTTATAAAGTGGTTCTGTAAAGCACTGTTGGTAATTAAAGACATATGGTGGGATTGGTGGGCTGGCTGTGGAGCACAGATGTAGTGGATCACAGTTGGCATTACTGGTGTAATTTTCACTTTCTCTGGTTCAAGTGGAAGAAAGGTAGGCATAACAAATTAAGCTTTACACACACAGACGCGCACACACTGAAAAACATAAAATGCACATATGCTGGAGTCATTACGACACAGATACAGTAACTTTATTTATGCACAGAAACATCACCACCACTTAGAAATGAACACACTCTTTTCCCAAGTTTATCAGATAATGTTTTGACTTATAAATAAAGACAGTCTCTAATATTTAATTTCTATTCTTGGGAAAATAAATGCTATTTGGTCAAGCTCTTCTGAAAAAAGCTCCTATATTGACGGATCATTCCATTTTTAACACCCAAGTTTCTCTTCAGTGTCTATCAGTGTTGAAATCAACAATAAGGTTTTGTTTACAATCACTTGCTATGCTTTCAAATCATATAAAGCTGCACTGTTGCCATCACCATTACCTTTCTAGTATCCTAATATGATTACTGTATTGGCCTGAATAAAAGACACCTCTCCTTTTGAAGAGAAAATCTTGTTTTAATGAAGAAATCTTTTTTTTTTTTACCAAAAAATTGGTAACACCTGTTGGATTAAATCACATTTTCTTCAATTTGCTGATGCTTCAATCCAAAGTGACGCACATCTGAGAATAAATACAAACAGTTTCAAGTCTGGACACAGGAGGTGCTGAGAGGCAGTGCACAGAACGCAGAGCACAGAGTGTTGTCAATATCTTTTAGATTATTTTGTCACATTATTAAGAATACAGAATGAAAGCAAATCAGTCTCCTCTTTGAATACACACAGTGGCGTGTCCCATCCTGCTTTCTTTCCACACTGACACTTTCATTTGAAAAGTTTCACTCGTGATTTCCCCATGTTCCATTTTAGATACACTAAATGA